ATCTCCGTAGAGGGTTCAGTCTCCACTATTTAAGTATGTATTTATTTCTACCCCTGAGCTCGAAAAACTGGTGGAGGGTGAGGAGACTCATATAAACCTCTTCGTGGAGGTCTCCATGAAGAAAAAGCCTTTTGACATCGAGCTGATGCAGTGACCAAGATCTGTTAGCTGCAACTGACAGACTGACTCGTATGGAATCAGTTTATTTGGCTCTAGACTACGATTCGATAGAGAATGATTTGGCACATCTTCTATTTCCTGGTATGAAAGTAAAGTCGTTAAGCTTGGTTTTCTTTGAGTTCAAGATATTCGGCATAAGCCGTCTTTGCTTTTTCCTCTTATCGATGTGATCCTTGTTTTAGCTTGGGACTTAGCTTGGCACCAGGGCGGCTTGCTTACCTACCTGATGATTTCTTAGCCGCCTACCGCTTCCTGTATCTCTTCCTTTCCTGCATCCTCTTACTTCACCGAATAGTAACCACCAGAAGATGGAGTCTTTAACTACCCCTATGAACTGCCTACTCCTACAGCTTGCCTTTTTAAAGCAACTGCTTGGCCGGCTTCTCGTCTTCTGTCTTATCCTTCCTCATTCCCTTCCCCACTTCCCTTAGCCGAACTCCCAGCTCTTTTCCCATTGTTCTAGCTCTTTCCGCTGACCTTCCAAGGCAGGTAGCAGCTTTGTAAGGTAGTTTTCCATATCTGTTAACAGCTTTAAGCCTAACCGCTTATTCCGACTTTCTTTCCTTTTGCCGGCTAGTCTACTCCTTTACCCTCTTGCCCTTTTTCTGTGTTTACGTGGCATCTGTTCTCTTAGTAAGAGGCTGCGCTCCGGACAGTTACACTAAGCGCTTTACCTGCTCGTTCCCCAAAGGCAGTGATAGGAGAAGAAAGACTAGACTTTGAGACCAGACCTCCACTGGGCGTTTTGCAATGTCCTCCCGACCCGTGCTCTGAAAGATCATGCATGAGTTGAAGCTCGTGTATCTGTTTCAGTAAAGACCGAAAAGAAAGACCCGCTGTTCTATTTTCGTGTTACCTTTTCTTCATCGTCAGTGCGGCTCGTCCCTTCCTTGGTGAAAAGGGGGACCCCCTCCGCCGATGGCCCTTCCCTTTCCATTCTATCAGCAGGACACAGGGCTCTCCTCGGCTTTGAGCTCTTCCCCCGATGCCTGAATGCTCCTTTACCGAGCAGAGGACTCGCTTTCTTTTTGGTAGACTGATAAAAATCACTAATCAATAAATTGCGTTTGTAAGATCAAGCTCAGCTCGTGGATCTTTGATTCTTTTAGACAAGTCGTTGGTCTTTTCGATTTTCCTTTGACCTAGTATGAATAGTAAATGGGTATAGTCCCGGTTGATGCTGCTGACATAGATGTAGATGGGGTGCCTTGATTAAGAGGTTGAGGGGGCCTCCGGTCCTCTTTCGTGTGCAACGGTTAAGAGTGGAAAACCGCTCCTCTAACTTGAGTGGCTTGACGCTCCTATGACAGTCCTAGTTGGAACTCGTACCCCCCTCCCGCTATCTATCGTCAGTTATTGTCCCAGGCGAGGAACTGCATGTATCAGAACTGATTCTCGCTCAACAAGATCTTTTGTGAGTGCCCTTCCTTTGGGGCTTAAGGCTCGTCTCTCGATGTTCGTCTTGTCTGATTGCTTTTGTCTTGGTTGGTACGCTCCCCCTTGTGAAAGAAGTCCTCTATCTGCACACTAACCTGGGAGACTTTCACCCAGTTTTTCCCTTGATTCTTCTAAGCCGCTTTGAATTGGCCTGTGCCCGTTGATGAATCATCAATCCATTCCGCGTCACGTCAGCCGAGAAGACGGACTCGCTGGTATCGTCAAATAGAATATAGAATCTTTCTTCCGCTCTAGGGGGGTTTATCTTTCATTAAGTAGCCCCTCATTAACCTCGTACACTGAGTCAAGCAACTTCTCCTTTTCTGTCATGAAGAGGAAGTGAGATGATGACAATGCGGCTGGGAAAAATCCATATCTATCCATTCCTTCTATAAGAGAATTGGATCCTGACCCAGACCTAAGAAATGAAATTAGATGCCGATTTCATTCCAGTAGTACCCGTGCTTCTTTTGGGGGGTGGTTGGAGTGCTTTAATCAGACTTGACCGAGTAGATCATGTTGGGATCTTCACCATGAATGATCTCTCCGGGCGAAGCATCTCATGGCACCACCGTTGATCAATAAGACAGGAGAAATAGAATAGACAGGGATAACCCCCATTCCTATCAGCGTGAAATGACATTCATTCAATCAGTCCTCTCCTCCGCTCTCTCTGTCCCTGGCTTCTACTTTCACATACCTTCTGGCCTCAGTCGTTGACTTTGCCCCTTCCGCTCCTCCATTTAACAAGCAATTTAGTGGTTGTTTGCTCCTGAACAAAGCTATTGGGACAGCGGCTTTGATAGCGCTTTCTCAATGAGAGAGATCATATCATGGTAGAGCTCCTATCCGTGCTTTGACAAATCCCTCTATGGCGTCATCTACTGGCTGACTGCACACTGCCTTCTGCCTGACTATGCTTTTAGAAAGCAAGATCCCTCTGTTTATCACTCTATAGAAAGAACATCCCATACAGAGTCTTTCAACTAACAACTAAGCTATTCGAGCCTTCACCTAAGCTCTCATCGATAGGGCCCCTGCCTCTTTGATTCTTATATACAAGTCTGGTAGTCAATTGTTCTAGCAAGGATGGGCTAGTTGCCTACTCTCGCCTAACCCGCCCCTTTAACTGATGATCAATATGACAAAAGTAATCTACCTTGATCCTTATATCACGCAATTCATAGATTTGGGCAAGTCAGAGTGAAATCAAAGTCAAGTTATTGGCGATCATACCTACTCAATGAGAATGCTCTCAAGTCCAGTCAATGTCTTTTTGATGAACAGTCTTAGTGCGAACTCAAATAAGGAGGGGGCCCCACCAGTCATAGTGTTCACTCTTCCCATAAGAATAAAAACAAAATTCCTGGGGTTTTTTTTATTCCTTAGTAGCTTTGACAACATTTGTCTCTGTGTGAGCCCTCATCTCATGCTCCTACTACTCTTTAACTTCAAGTAGGAGTGATGGACGAGTGAAGATCGCCAAGCTCTTTCTTCCCCGTGAATTGACTTCAACTGAAATACGGGCGGACCGGCTTCTCCCTTTGAGCATAGCATGCTTTTGGGGAGTAAGTCACTTAATATAGTATGTTATGTGAGAATCGATTCTTACAATCACATCAAAATAGCATGTCTATATACTTATCTACAGTGTCGTTCCTCTTTTTTTACCTTCCATTCATTTGAAAGAGAAGGTTTCCTCTCACCTAAAATGGATCAGAGAACGACGGCCTACGCATACACCACAACATTACTGGGGCAAATAGTATAGATTTTCGGAAACTCCGATCCCCCTAGTTGAAGACTATCGCCCACAATTAGAACCATCTAAAATAACGTCTATGATGGATCCATTACGAATGTCTCGTCCCAGAAGACCATCACTTAGGTTTCACTGATCGAGCAACGCGGTTATTTCGCGGACCTTTCTGTTCCTAGTTAAAGTGTAGGCCTTTTGGACTTAAGCTGGGATTTGGTATTTCGACCCAGGTGTTACTATCATTTCTAGGACTCGTCTGTACTTAACAGTTCCCTTTAGTGTAGTTTCTCGGAGATATCTGGATTATTAAAAAAAACAAAAAAAGGGGACGAAAGAGAAGAAAAAAGGTAGTTTTACTTGCTTAGTGCTTGTTCGCTAAGGGAAGAAAGATCGAAAAGTCGAACTTTGCTTCAAAAACGCACTCACTCTTCTCAAAATCTATTAAGAGAAGAAAGATCTACGCTACGAAAAGGAGTAAGCGGAAAGAGCATAAAGAGCTTACTTATAAGGTACGAGCTTAGAGCCTTGCGTCACTCTGGTATGCTAATCACTTCGTTGTACGACTCTGGAACGGTAGTCGCTTAGTGCGACAGCACTATGGGATGCAAAGAAGCTTCGTCACCCTTCTTGAGTTTAGTTGCTTCTACTTTTTTCATCGAGATTGGGTTGGTGTTCAGTGTACCGCTTGTGTAGCCTACGTGCGGGTACAAGATCGAAAAGAATACGTTGCATGGAAATGTGAGATGTCCAAGATATTAAGAACGAGGGGAAGAATCGACGAGGAATCTAGACTAGAGAGGAATATAGAACATCAAATCGTGAATGAAAAAGAAAAAGCGTGAGGAGAATTCTCAACTATATATGTTAGAAGGTGCAAAACTAATAGGGGCCGGAGCTGCTACAATTGCTTCAGCGGGAGCTGCTATCGGTATTGGAAACGTCCTTAGTTCCTCGATTCATTCCGTGGCTCGGAATCCATGATTGGATAAACAATCATTTTGTTATGCCATTTTGGGCTTTGCTCTAACCGAAGCTATTGCATCGTTTGCCCCAATGATGGCCTTTCTGATCTCATCCGTATTCCGATTAAAGAATAAAATAAAGAAGGTTTCAGTTTCATAAAGCAAGCACCTCTTTCCAGCCTTAGTCAAATAGCCACCGGAGGCAAGGGGGCGCAGTTCTTAAACAGAAGAATGGCGAGAAAGAGGAAATGACTCAAATTCAAGAAAAAAAGAGTCGAATTTGAATTCAAGTAAGAAGGAAGCAGGCTAGCCCCTGAAAATGCTCTGCGCCTAGGTTCTTTTGTCGTTGGGGCTTACACCTTGTGACTCATTGATTCGGTCGAGCGTTCCTCGGGCGTCGATCAATCCTTAATCAAAGGCCGCTCTGTCATTGCTTGATTTTTGGTTGTCTGATCACACTCGAAATTATGTATCTACTTATCATCATTTTGCCCCTGCTCGGTAGATTGGTAGCAAGTTTTTTCGGACGTTTTCTAGTATCAGAAGGAACCGCTATAATGACCACTACGTGCGTTTCATTCTCTTCGATCTTATCTTTGATTGCTTTTTATGAAGTCGCACCAGGAGCTAGTGCTTGCTATCTAAGAATAGCTCCATGGATC